GGATATTGAATTGATATTTTTGAATATTCAAATGCATTTTTTGCATTATTTGGACTTGGTCCAAACACAAGCATTTCAAGTAGAAGGTATTCTCTAAAAAATACACACACATCTCGTATCGCACTCCAAGCTCGTGCAACATCTTCACATATTTAAGCTTGTTGATCTTTCCATAATTATTATTATAATACTTGTTCTAATTTATTTTCCACTGCATCATGTCATGATGCTTTAGCTTGTAATGAGGTTGTTCAAACCCTCAACTTGAACTAAAAATTGCATGGATCTTTGATCTATTTAAATTGAAGGAATTCACATGATGGTTCTCTTAGCTTCCCAATATTATTAGGGAGCTAAAATAAATTACTCAATTATATGGAAATTACACATAAACACACTTGCAATTTAAATCCTTTTTGTTTCTAGATATTTTTTAATCCTGGCCTATTCTCCAATTCAAGTTGTGGAGCTTTGATATATGTGAGAGTAGCCACATGCAAATTTTTGCCTCAATCAGAAATTATTTGAGGGGAATCTGTTCCTCTATTTTTCTTTTCTGAAAAATGGGAATCTGTTTAGCACTGCGCGGTGGGCCGGCCCCAGTGGGCGCAGCAGCACCCAATAGCCCAAATAGTGCCAGCCGGCCCTAATTGGCTAAACTGGCTGAACCGGCCCAGCTGCAACCACCCCCGCTAACCACCCTAGGCTCTAGGGGAGAGCGTCTGCTCGATCCCCCGGTCAGTCCCTTCGTTCGATCCCCACGTCGCCGCCGCGAAGGCACGTCGCCCGCTACAGCGAGCCGCCGCTCTTCCCCGTCAAGCTCCCTTCCTTCCCCTCCTCCTAGGTCGTTTCCCTCTTCTTCTCCTTACATGGCCTCTCTTCCCTTGCACCCTTATTTTCCTCTGCAGCTCTCCTCTGGAGACTGGCGCCCATGGCAACCATCGGCTGAGCAACCACGCATAGCGTCGTCGACCTCCATCTCCAGCAGCATTCCACCCCCTCTGTCCTGCTTCGACTCCACCCCTTTCATTCAATCCCTCTTTCTCTGCCTCGCCACGCCGGCCGGCAACATGTGAAGGGAAGCAGTAGCCCAGTGATGCAATCGGTTGTGCTGCTGCTGTTGTCTTTACTGATTTCCGAGGCTTCTTCCTCTACCGAGTTAATTTATTTATTTTTTTCCTTCTGAGTAATTTCTTTGTTCCCTTCTGGATTTCAGGCTGCTTGTTGATTCTCTATGTCGTACCGTACGTATATAAACTGGTCAGATTATATGTGAAAGAGCAAGGTGGGGTTTTAACCCTAACCAGGCTAGTACAATAGATTGCTACGTATAAGTGATGCATTACCGCACATCCTCCTTCGACGATCCTCTACTCGTGGACCAGCGCTGTCGCCTCCATGATCCTATTCGTGTGCAGCGCCGGAGCCTCCCCAATCCCGATTCATATAGCAAAAATTAGTGTGGCAGATTCGTCATAGTACAGAGGCACACATCTAGGCTGGGCAGGACGTGGATTTTTAGAGCATATGCACCCAGGCCCTGCTATCCTAGCTCTCCAATATTGCTTTAAGATCCGTGTGACACAACTAAGTTTCTATATGAAATTTTCTCTTTTTTGCTTCTTCCACATAGAACATATCTTGAAGTTGAAACCTATGCAGGATGGCAAAGCTTTCTAATTAGAATCTAGGATAAATCTTTCAGAATTTTTTGTCCGACGTAAATACTAAAAATATGATTTTTTAATCAAACAAAACGTATTTTGTATATTTATGTTTGACAAAAAAGTCTGAACGATTTATCCTACATTCTACTCAGAAAGCTTTGCCACGCTGCATAGGTTTGAACTTCAAGATATATTCTATGTGGGAGAAACAAAAAAGAGAAACGTATTTGCACGAATCTTAAAGCAGGACATGAATGGCTAGATAGAGAGGGCCTGGGTGCATATGCTCTAATATATATTTTCGAGGCTGGGCATCCTAGGATCGATCAAAGCAGGGTTCTGAGCAGTCGAGGAGGACATGGCGCCTGAGTAGTGCAGGACTAAGTCGAGGAGTTGCGGGTACGAGCGATGGATGTGGATGCCGGACGTTGCTATCGCTGTTGGGCACCGCCGCTGTGACCTTTGGGTTCGCATCTCGCTGTGACACCATGTTTTCGTCAGTGTTAGAGGCCGGCACCATGGGCATGCCGTGGTACCTCGAACGGAGCGGACTGAGCGAGTACTTTCTGATGTACATATACGACGCGATTCGTCGGCCCGTACTTTCGGCTAACAATACACACATACGTATTGACTGAAGATCCTACGTGCCAAGCTAGCTAGAGCTAGCTGGATGGATTCCTGGGCTAGTTAGGACATGCACGCTCGTGTAACACCACGATGCCCGCTTGATCGATCTTGAGGATACACGCATACGACATACGTATTGACTGGGATCCTAAGTGCCAAGCTAGCTAGCTGCTGGATGGATTTCTTGGCTAGCACACGCATGTTTTGTAACACCATGACGCTGGCTTGATCAATCTTGAGGCTAGCTATGTACCGATCAGCAACGCGAACCCTCTTTTATAATGGACTTTTGGTTGGGCTGAACTTTTTCTCAAATCTTGGAGTAGGTAAGGTGCAGCGGCCGATACAGTATCGAATAATCCCACCTCGTAGGAACCAGGCAGAAGACCACATACGGATGACGCATCACGGATGAAAACCAAAGAAAAAAAGTAACGTAGGACCAACTAACTAAGCGAGAAAAAACCAAGAATATCACCTCTTTTTAGAAATCAAGAATATCATCTTCCTTTAATAATAGGTATAGATATAAATATAGATATAAATATATAGATATAGATATAGATATAGATGATCTCCAGCCTTTGCCTGCCTGAAGCAGTGAGGCATACAGTAGCTCATTCCATGTGTCCGGCACGCCTGGCAGGCACAGTCCTGCTTGGTCGCGGCCGCCGCCAGCAATCTTTTGTAATGGAATGTATTTGTGTTCCTTTCCAAAAAAAATAATCGTAAACGTCCGCCGCCCCGTCCCCCGTGTTCGTTTAGTAGAAACCCTAACTTAAAGTGCGGCGGCGGCGGCGGCGGCGAGCATACTAGCGGCAGGCCTGGTTAGCAATCTCAATCCCCAAAAAGGAGAGATCGATGGCGGCTGGAGGCGGGGGAGGCGAGGTGCTGACGCCTCGTGACTTGGCGATGGAAGAGATGGATCCGCAGCCTGGCGTTTTCTCCGAAGCAGAGATCCTGAGGATGGAGATTGCGTCCCTGGTGAACTTGCTCAGGGAGAAGCAGTCTGACGTTCTTTCGCTCGATCCTGAGATGGTGAGGAAAATCACGTCCCTGAGGAGCGAGATCGCGTGCCAGAAGTTGGCAAGGAGGTTCCGGAGGTCAAACGCACAGTGCCGCGGAGGCGTAAAAAGTTCTCTGCAGTGCCGAGGGTCGGGCAGAAGAAGGAGATCATGGCCGATCAGGAGAGCATGGATCTGCCCAACTCCGATACGCAGAGTGTGAGCTCCCAAGTCAGTTGCATCTCCGAGCAGATGCCCGAGCGCTGCCAACACAAGGAGATCGACTCGGAGAGAATCAAACCAGCCTCCAGATTCGAATCCAACTTCGAGCATGTGCATTTACCCTACGGTGGCGAGGACGAGGGGGGGCGCGTAAACGGCCAAGTCAGTTGTATATTGGAGCAGGCGGAGGCCTTGTGCGACGAGATGGCATCTATTCTGGGCAAAACCTCCTATTACGATGTCTCCAATCTGTTTCACATTGCGTATAGATTTCTGAACATCTCCAGGAGTATATACGATTATACCTGCAATGCTGATAAACAGACGGCTGACCAATATGCTGAGGACCAGAGGACCAAGGAGCATGTGGAGATGACTGATCAGGTGGACAAAGGCAAATCCAGCACCCACTGTCTTAACCAGAGGAGCAAGGAAGAGGTGGATGAATCTGCAACAGATTTGACAATGGACCTTTGTAAATCAAACATGGAGACGCACCAGATGGCTGCTGATAGCCAGATGACAGATGACAAAGATGAACATTTTGTGGCAGCAGATCTGATAAGTGGTCTTTCCAACCAGATGACTGTGCACTGTTATGAGAACCAGAGTACTGTGGAGTACGTGGAGATGATTGATCTCACGGTGGGCAAAGGCCAATCAAGCACGGAGACGCATGCGTTGAGGATGATGGACCAAGGAAAATCAAGCAATGAAGGCAAATCAAGTAACGAAGGCAAATCAAGCACGGAGACGCGTGCGTTGAGGATGATGGACCAAGGAAAATCAAGTAGTGAAGGCCAATCAAGTAACGAAAGCAAATCAAGCATGGAGACGCATGCCTCGAGGATGATGGACCAAGGCAAAAAATCAAGCTTTAGGATGGTGCTGGATTGCGATGAGAATGGTATGCCCAACTTGTGCAAATATTACGAGATGCTCGAATGTGAGGATGCGGAGGAGGAAGATGAGGAGATGACTCCGAAGGGTGTAAGGATGTATAACAAATTCCGTAAGGAGCTATTAGAGATGGAAGCTGGCTTACGCAAGGACCGGGAGCAGGATCAAAAGGACGCGCTGAGGTAGGAGCATGATCAAATTGACACACCGAGCTGTTACACAATGGACCCGATCCCCTTCTCACTTCAGGACGAGGCAGAGGAGACTGAGGAGGCGGAGGAGACGGAATTCACAAAATCAGACACGGAGGAGATGGAGATGGCGGACAAGTTGCTTGCTTTAGGGCGTAAAGGCTGGGAATCTGCATAGGGAGACGACTGCGGTAACTTCGAAGACAGGAGTAAGTAAACATAAAATCCGTCGATTCCTTCTCATCTTATTAGTCTTCCAAAACAATGGCAACACAGTCAGATTCGTCCCTTCCTATCTTCTTTCCTTGTATGAGTAAGTAAATAATTGATGTTACAACATGTCTTAACATTTGGATTAACTTGCTGCTGCAGCCGTATTGAGTCCTATGCACTTTACATATTGCACGCCGGGACTGATCCCGTATGCTGCTCGCACTGTGAGCACCTTGCAAATCTACTCCGTGAAGATTGTTGGAACAGATGGAAAGTTGAAGTTGCCACTCCATGTTTATGGGATTGTCGCTGCCCGAGATGCCGTGGACTACAACCGCAACATTCTCTTCTCTTGGCGAAGGGAAAACTGCCAAAAACTCACTCCAGAGGCATGTACCATATTACATAGTATTTCTCGTAATTTCCCCCTTTTCTTCCTGCATGTGCATTCGTTCATTCGATTCAACTATAATGATGATTATGATGCCTGCAGGATCCTTTTTTGCGCTTGACTGGCCTGTCCCGTGCAATTGTGGCTGTGTACCATGTTGATTTTGAAGTCCAACTGAAAGTAAAGGGCTCATCAAGGTCTCGCGACAGAGCATTGATGAGTCATTGCTTTACTTACGCCGGTGGTTACCATGAAGGTTTACATACCACGTTCTCCAGCAACAGCTTTTGCACAGTAGAGTTTAGCTATGAGCGACTTACAGAAACAGTCCAGGCTACTATCTTGAGTGCGCGTGTTGTTGAAGGGGCGCCTTGGCCTTTTGAATATGGCGGACGGATTATGTGCTCCTCGCCACCACAGGAAGTTACGGACTCCCTATCCAGGCAAGTTGTGTTGGTTGATTCTCATCGTTCTGATGATGGTGGAGAAATGCCAATGGGCTCGGATGGTTACCTTGATCTGTCAAGGCATGTTGTTTCTGTAGAACTTGAAGAAAGCCTGCAGTTTGTCATACAAGCCTACTCACAGTCTGGTGATGCTATTGCTAGACAAGGTAGTGTCAGGTTCAGGACCAAATACTGCAACATAAGTCGAGCGATATGTGAGATTGATGACTCTAAGGTGGAGATAACTGTCGCTTGGTCCCAACTTGCTAAGCACAAGAGGGATATCCTCTTAGAAGGACATGTTTGACGGCTCTTGTGCCGTGGATGTTGTCGACTGCAGAATTATTTGTCTTTGATTAGTAAATCTGTCATGTACCTGTTGCCCAATTTTATCTGTTTCTGTCTTACATGTGGTTTGCAAAACTGCAGAATTATTTCTCTTTAATTAGTTAATCTGTCCAACTATTTGCGAATCGACTAATGTTATCCGACTATTTGTGTCTACTACAACTTATTATGCTATATGTGAAGTACTGCCTCTGTAAAGTAATATGAGACCTTTTAGATCACTAAAGTAGTGATCTAAAGTCTTGTATTAGTAAATAGGAGTTAGTAATTGCCTAACTGGACATTGTATTTGAGGTTAAAATGGAATATAATGTACTGCCAGAGTGCCAGTATACACAAAGAAATAAGGCACTGACAATTCATGGCTGAAACTGAAGTGTCAATTATTACTTTATTATACAACCACTCACTCCAAGATGGGGCTTTGCATAGAGGTGAAACCAACACCAGACCAAGAACCCTTCCCTCTACTTTGTCTAGGATAATATATAAAGCAAATTGTTAGCCAAAGTCAAATAGCAAGCTTTAATACCTAATCGTGCAAACACGTACTGCAAAGAAGATAAGCATATAGGCACCGGCGGTGACACCCATGCACATCACAGACCCTAAACTGCAAGAGAAATGACACAATAACATCAGAGAACTCCTTTAGGCACCAACAGAATACAAAAAAAGGAAGCCAATTATTACCTGAAGAAATCAAGAACATCCGCCAACTGATACGCGAGCTTATCAACATATAGCTCATGTACATCTGATGGAATTGGAGCTGCTCCCAACTGTAAGACAACAGATGCCATGAAAGACAAACATGTAAGAACTGGAGGTAATAGGGACAGAATAGTAAATGACTATGTTAAATATGGAGGAACATATGATGATGACTGACCTCATGGCATTGAGGAGTAATATGGTAAATACAAACATTGTGAAGCAACAGGAATGCAACCTGTGAGCAGAAGAACAATCCTTGGAAGCAGGACATGTCTACCAAACAGGAATACAACACATGAGCTACCTTGTTATAGCAAAATTTATAACAGCAACCACGAAGAAAATGATATCACTTCATCTTCTTCTCCTTACACAGAGAAGGATACAGATCCGTATCCGGAGATGAGCACAAGACACCCATCTGGTCCTTGATCGACTCACGAACAAAAGTGAGCCCATAAATAGGAGGTACAAAAAGAAAGGGAACAGAGTGTGAGTCCGAAGAACCACATAAAGAGCCACGAATCGATTCTCACCTGATAGCTTGATTGTTCACAAGGGCCATAGCACAAAATCAAATCCATGAGTATGTATGCATGGACTTTAGCCATAAATACGTGGACAAAAATTAAGCACCGGCTAGAACCACAAAAAATCAAAATAAAACATGACATCGAGAGCACATCTTGCCACGACATAACAACAAACAGGCTATAAGCAGATTAACATCAACAACAAACCAACGAACAACATCACACCAACAACCATCTATACAGTCGCACATGACCAAGCGGCCAACGTGAATGGGAGATGACAACCATCTCATTCATAAAGCAGAAGAGACCGGAAACACACGAGGCAACGACACTGAGAAACACAGACTTCACACAAAAAAGTACCAGAGAATCTTTATTAATACCCAGCTAGCACATATCACCAATTTGATCAACACAAAAAGGGTTGTTAGGAATCTCACAACCTGCTTATTCCTTTTCCAGTACTAAGCAAGCTACCAGAGTTGGCTTACTGTACTTACCACATGAGCGCACACTGCTATTCTGGGCAGGCACCAAAATAATTACAAGATCAGGTCTAAATACAGGACTTCCTTCCTTGGCATGCACCAAACTGGGGAACACCACGGCCATATCATTAATTTTTGTGGGTCGTTTATTTTTCTCTCGGTACCAACACTAACCTGATTCTTACTGGACAAATAAAAATTACACAGAAAATAAATCTAACAAATCCTGCACCGTAGGCCGATGCTAAATACTATGTAACCAGCTGATTAATTCCTTCAGGAACCAAACGGATGTAGCTTTACTCCAACGATCTACTATTTCAATTAGGCTCATCGGTTCTTGCTTGCAAAAAAAAGGGTCTGTGCTGAAATTCAACCCAACTGAGAGCCCTACCAGTAGCACAATCAGCATGGTGATGGCGCTCGTATGAAATCGGTAGCCAACAAGGGAAAACTTGATCGACCCCCCAAAAAAAAGACGCCTGTGTTGGGAGCGATACCTGACTGCAGGAGAAATTCTTTCGACGCCGACACAACAGTCACGAACACGGAGGACCCGCAGCAGGCGGACGCGGCAACAACCGTAAGGAGGGATAGCCGATGAAGGACACACGTGACACCTGGAGCTGAAACATGGAGGAAACAAATTGGAGGCGGCGGCTCAGATGTACGGCTTGGCGTCGCCGGAACCCACAACCAGAAGCAGCGCCAGTTCCCCGCCACGCGGTTCCCAGACACCTCACCGGCGCACTCGACGCCGCGGAGGCTGTCCGAGCCCAGGCCTCCTTGCCGGCGGCGTCGCGGCGCGGACGGGAAGCCTGGCCCCGCGAGGACGCTGCCACGGTCGGGGGCGCGGGTATGCGCCAAGCGCCGACCCTCCTCATCGCCGCCGTTTTCCGTGAGGTAGGGGTGAAGGGGAAGCAGTGGCGGCGGCGGTGAGGCAGAGGAGAAACGAGAAGAGGAGAGGTTGCGTGTGGGGATGGAGAGAGCGTGGAGTGCGGGGTTGGGCCGCGTGTGTGAGGCCTTCTTTACTGCGCCCATCAGAAATTATCGAGCGACAAAACAGTGCCCTCGCCAGCCCCTGATGCCCACGTGGACACACGCTCGTTGCTCGGTTCTTTACTGCGCCCATCAAAAGATAAAAGAAGGATGTTCCACCGAGCCTTCTCAGAGCTCAGCGACTCTCGGCCGTTGGATCGTTTCCTTTGATGTGTTTTCGTCCGTTGGATCAAGATTTGGAGAAACCTAGGCCGTCGGATCTGGAGTTGCACTGCTGGAATGAATAGTAATGGTAGTAAAATGTAAATATCATGCCCCCACCAGAGCATTTTGGTCATTTCGCGTGGTGGGGGTATAAAAGGGGGGCGCTCCGGCGGAGACCTAGCCGCCTCCTCCTCTCTCCCTTCCTCCCGCAGCCGCCTCCCTCCCTCCTTCCCGCGCGCCTCCTCTCCTCCCCCCGCCTCCCGCAGCCACATCGCCGCCGCCACCCGCCTTCCCACGCCGTCGGCGGCCAGATCCACCGCAACAAAGCCCCCGCCTCCCTCCCCAACGACGATGAGCAGCAACGGAGGGAGGACGAGGAGCACGGCGGCGGCGGGAGCGGGGAGGAGCAGCAGCAGGGCAAGGCGGCGTGTTGCGCCGTCTCGCGTCTCCTCTCCTCCGACCACGCCGCCGTGCTGCGCGACGGCGAGTGGGCGTCCTCGTCATCTCCTTCACCCTCCATCGCGGCGGCCTGCTCTCCTGTCCATCTCCATCGCCGCGGAGGAGGAGATCCAGGCGGAGCGCTCCGCTATCTCCATCGCCGCGGCCCGCCCTCCTGTCCGCGTCTCCCGCGGCTGCTCCTCTGGAAGGAGGAGCAGCCCGAAGGCTGCCTCTACAACAACAGCAGCAGCGGAATCACATCCCACAGGCACCAAAAGGCGGTCGGAAGGAGGCGAGCGGCCACCACCAACACACTCGCCGCTGACGCCGGCTGCGACGAACGGATCCTGGTCGTCCCCGTCTCCTTCACATCAGATCCGTCAAGGTCCAGCAGATGACATCATGGGTGGCGTGCGGATGGGCACGGAGCCACGGACACACACCTTTATGGCGACCCCAACGCCGCCGCCGTCTCGGCGCTCCTCGCATCCCGCTCCGACGGCGACAAGTTCGACGCACTGAAACACCTCCTCGCCCTCATCGCGCAAGACCTTGACGTCTCCTACCTCTTCCCGCAGGTCCGCCCCCTTCCTCTCTTCTTGTCTTGTCTCACCCGGATTCCGGTGACTGAATTGCGTGCGTGTGTGCTTGCTGCGCAGGCGGTCAAGAACATGGTGGCGCAGCCGCTTGAGCTGAAGACGCTCGTCCCGTCTACCTCTACCTCTGCCTGTTCCACTACGCCGAGAGGTAAGCTCAGGCCCTTCCTCTCATTTGCACTCCTCTCTGCCTGTCATAAGTCGTGTACTGTAATATTTAATCAATGTAAAATGCAGATTTTCAGAAATAACAAAGGTTGAGAGAATCATATTTAGGGCATCTCCAGCCGCGCCCCCAACAGGCCCTCCCCAGGCGATTTTGCCGCGCCGGCGCCAAAAAAACGGCCCAGTCGCGCCCCCAGAAGCCCATTTTTCGCCGGCTCGGGCCAAAACTGGTGCCGGCGGACTCAGGCCGAACCCGGCGCCTTGGGGGTGCTTGGGGAGCCGGCACAAGCGAAAAAGGCGCGTGGGCCCGCCCTGGCAGCGACCCGAGGGCCTTTTCCCGCCGCTTCTTGACGCTTTCCCTCGCATCTCCTCCGCTCGCTCGCCTTCCTCCCGCCATTCCCTCCCTTTCTCCCGCCAAAACCCTTCAGCTCGCCTTCCAGTCGCCGCCATGCCGCCGAAAAAGTACGCCATGCCGCGCGCGGCGGCTACCACGACTGGCACCGTGGCCCAGCCGAAGCAGAGGAAGCTGAGGGCACCGCCATCGAAGCCACCGGGCATGTCGAACGCCGTGTGGAGGGTGGAAGTTCAGCGACGCGACGCAGTCACCACCGACCGGCGGAACAGGGCCATTGCCAAGAAGGCCCGCGACAACGCGGGGATGATGAATCCACCCGTCGTCAGTCACGCCCAGTACGCGCCCTGGGGACAGCAAGGCGTCGGATCTCCATGGGGATCGTCGTCGCCCGGCTACGCCGACGGCGATGCGCACGGGGTGTTCAACCCAAACGTGACCTTTCCCCATGGCCACCCCGCGACGCGCACACCCTCGCCCGCCTTCGTCGGCGTGCAGTACCCTCCATACAACTACTCGTCGCCCGCCGCCTACGCGACCACACCGACGCCCCATCTCCGCCGTGGGCCGCTGCCCTTCTCGCACCTCGGCGACACGGACGACACAGGAGCCGACATGGACGACATCATCGCGACAGGATCGACCGCGGCCGCCGCGTCTCCCGGGTTCGCAACCCAGGACGAGGTAGTGGATCTCAGTGGCGACATGGAGGCCGAGCTCGGCTACGTCTACGGCGAGGACGCGCACAAAGCGCAGGAACCCGAGGAGGAGGACGAGGACGAGGACGAGGAGGACGAGGAGCCAGCTCCTGATCCGACGAAGGGGCGCCAGAAGAAGAAGCGGGCGGCTAGGACAGGCGAAGCGCGCATCAAGTGGACATTCAAGGAGGAGGAATGCCTCGCCGAAGCATGGAAAGTCGTCTGCCTCGACCCGACCACCGGCACGAACCAGAGCTTCGAGACGTACTGGGACCGCATCAAGGCCGAGTTCGACGAGCGAAAGCTCGTCGACCCGTACTTCAAAGGCGTCTACATGCAGCGCGGCTCCAAGGCGATGGCGAACCATTGGGGGCGTATCCAGTTGGCGTGCAACAAATGGCATGGAATCGTCGAGGAGGTCGCGGCTCGCCCGGAGAGCGGCGCCAGCGTTGAGGATCAGGTACGCACGCCGTTCGCCCGCATCTCTTCGTCGTCAACGCCCGCCGCCCGCCAACTGTTTGTTCCTCCGCGCAGCTGCTACGTATGTTCACCATGTATCGGTGCGACAACCAAGACGCCGACTTCAAGCACCTCCACGTCTACAAAGCGCATTGACAAGTGTGAGAAGTGGGCGGAAGTCCGACGTACCCTCGACAAGGCCAAGGAGACATACAAGCCGGACGCGACGACTCCGGGCGCGTCAGAGGGGCGGCCGGACGGCCACAAATTGGCAAAGAAGGGGAAAAATGTCGACGCGGCAACCGCGCGAGTGCAGGAGTCCATCGAGCATTGCCTCGCCGACGCCCAGGCCAGGGCCGTCCTACGTGAAGAGGAGACCGAGGCGCGGTGGTCGTCGCTGATGAAGAACAGCGCCATCAAGCTTGACCTGCTCCGGACGAACGTCGCCGCGAAGAAGAGGAACACCGATATGGCTTTTCTGATGGGCGGGGCGGACATGCTCCAGAGCAACGACGAGCAGCTCAGGGCGTGGTACATGGCGGAGCGCGGCCTCATCCTGAACCAGATGCAGATGGCAAAGCCGACGACGCCGACGACGCAAGCTCCCATGCCCACGACCACACAAACGCCAAGCCCGAACGACGCCTCTACATCGCCGCCCAACAGTGCCGAAGCCGCGCCGACACAACCCAGCACCGAAGCAGCTCCGACACCGCCGAGCCCGCGCACGCCGACTCCGCCAACGCCTGGAGCCGACCCCGCCGAGTGAATCATTGCGCACGCGAACTTGCGGCGTGCGGCGCTCTATTTTTTGTAACGCCAGACTACGTCCGATCGCCGGATTTGTGGCATCTTTTGAGAGCGGGAACGACCAAGTTTAAATTTCCCGCATCCTGAGGCCGGCGCTTGGGGGCGTGACTGGGAGCTAGGTCGCCCCCAGGGGCCGAACTAGCGCCGGCACGCCCCCAGGCCGCTCTATTTAGGCGCCCTGGGGGGCCGAACGGCTGGAGATGCCCTTAGGCCTGAAACTTTTATCTTGCCAAAACTTCTGTGCATATAGCGTCTCTTTGAATTTTTTTCTGTTTCTAGGAGATGATGAGAGTTCTGAACTTGATCACCATCAGCATAGCTAGACATGGTAGCTGGATTGATCATTGGATGAAGTATTCAGTTTCATTCTTAAGTGCTATGAGAAGAGGTGAACCAAATCGTCCATAGATAAAAGCTACGTTATCTGATTAGTTTAATTAAATGAATGTCATATTGATTTGCCTTTTGTTTGTTTGCCAAAGGCGACTAGCGGGGAAGTGGAATTGGACCAATTAGGTCCTACTGTGGTATGTGCCAGACTGAACCACCATGTATGCTTCCTTACAGGAAGTACTTGATCAATGCTACAAAATAAATTGCTTGATTGGATTTATTACAGAGAATAAAATAAGAATATTAGGGTTTAAAGCTACCCTTCTTGTGGATTGACTGATAAATCCATAAAATATTTTGGGAAAAAGTTAAATCCTTGTATGTTGTGTACTTGCAGTCTAATCTTTAAACCCTCAGTTGTACGGAAGTGATAGTACATTTCAGTTCTGTGTGTTGACCATTGGCATGATAGGTTGTTGAATCCATCGTGGTCCTGTCGCTTCTATAGAACTAGAGCATTCCCTTTCGTGCCTTGCATTTTTTTTGTTTTTTAACACAGAAGTGGTGATTATAGTGACAAGCTTGTGTTGGGGTTCATGTACGCTTATGCAGGAGGGTCGAGATTAGCGCTCATTCCCACCTTTGTTTTCAAATGAGCTTGGCTTTCAAACCTGCGAGGTTTAGAATTTCCTATTGAATTTACTTCTGTTTTTTGCCAGCCTCCATCCGCCAATTGGAAATAAGTTGAGGGAACTGTCATATTTTACCTCGGAGCATCTCTGATTGAACACTATTTACATCTAATTTGGTAGTCTGTGCTTTGCAGGAACTCGCTACTTCAATTCTTTATATTGTTTAATTAATTGGGTGTGACAATAGGTTGTACACTATAGACATTTGCCACTTACATCAGAGATTCTTCCTTCTAACCTACTCATCTCTACCTATATACAGCTAACTACAATTTTGGTATTGGGGATAATTACT